TTAAATTAAAAAATGTGTAATCTAATTTCTATAAAAAGGATAATGGTTAAAAAATTGAAAAATTAAGGGATTAATGATTTAATTATACAAAGATTTCAAAATGCCCCTCAGCTTCTTTAGTTTCTTTAATTTTGTGACATTTACATATTTTTGCTCTTAAGATCTTCACATTGAAAAACCTCCTCTAACAGTTAAAATCGTTTCACCGTTTTTATATTTCTCATTTGATCTTATCTTATATGTATATATATATATATATATATGTGTGTGTGTGTGTGTGTGTATGTGTTCTCCATTATCTTATTGATAATATTAAACAATTCAAATTCATACAAAGAGAAAAATCATATATGGTTGTAATACGAGAGAGAGCTTATAAAGATGTCATATCAAGAGCTAACAACGATAAGCGGTAAAAATTACATAAGTGGAAAAAAAGTTAAAAAAAGTCAAAGAACATGAAGAAAAAAAATGGTTTGCACACCTCGTCATATATATTTGGTACGGGTGTTAACATGATGTAGGATACGCGTTTCATGTCACGACAACTCTCAAATAAGCTTTTTTAAAATGATAGCTGTTACAAGTGAATTATATAAAATATTTGAAATTTAATCGAGTAATAATAACATTTAATGTTTCTGAAAATATATAAAGTTAAGTATTAAATAATAAACCTTAGATAATATATAAAAAAAAAAATAGTTGGTTTTTGTAGTGTAATTAGAGTTTTGTTGAATAATTGATGTTGACTTGTCTTTATTCTTGTTTTTTAGGTTCTTCATTTTGGTACTCTAAACATGAATAAAAAGCATCTCATAATTCCTCCCTACCTTTTTCTTTCGGTAAACGTGTGCTATTTTTTGGTTTCTAAACTTGTCCCTTTGCTCTCCTTCCCATATATTTCTTTAAATTTTATTTAAAATTAAGAATTAAAAATCAAAATACTTTTATAGAAAATCAACATTGATTATAATATTAAAATATTATTTTTTTTTTAAATATTTATTTTCAAAGTTTCGTATCAATGGTCTCACTTGGTAACCATTTTGTTGTGTTCTTCATATTTGGAGGAAAACCCTTTTCTCTTCTACTTTCTCCATTTTAAAGATAGTTTTGGGAAAGCTGTTGGAACAAAATATTGGCTCAAAATCCCAATTTTCTCCATTATCTCTATTTTATATAAGTTATTGAAAATGGTCTTAGTAATTACCAGCGGGAAGCTTTTGTTGTTAATTTTCATTCATGACATCCCAATTTTCTTGTAATATATGTTAGATCTTTACCTAATTATATACATATGATATAACTTTATTTTAATAAAATCAAACATACATAGCATATTTCATTTAAAAGTGTGTACGAAAAACTAAGTTATGTTTGACAAAGTAGCTGAAAAACTAACTGATAAATTAATTAATCACAATTGATAAAAACAAGTATAATCTAGTTGACAAATGTAAAATGAAAAAAATATTTACTAAAATATGATTCAATGTTCACAATGCATAATGTAATTAAAACAAACCAGTAATATATTTCATCATATTAACCTAGGTAGTAAAAAACATAAAACGAGTTCCAATCATTTAAGGTTAGTAAACATTTCTTTCACTCAATGTCTTATTCAACACTGTGCCGAATTTTCATAACGGTACAACATCCGTACGTTAGAAAATGTAACGAATTTCATAAAATAAACGTCGTTTAGAAAATTCAACACATGACTTGATGATTTTGAGTAACTCTTATACTTTGAATAAAAAAGCTTTTTAACCATGAGATTTTTAATTAATTATCACTTTTTAATAATTTATTTAATTAATAATTTAATATTTTTAAATTTATAATTAACAAAGAAAACCTTAATTCCATTGAAGTTTGAAAACAAAAGTAAAGATGAGTGATAATACATAATGATAATTGTGAGAGCACATGTGAGATTATTAAAAACGAATAAAATCTATCTTCCATTATTAAAATGCATGTATGAGGGACATGATGTTTCCTGGAAGCTGCATTTTAAAACTTTTTAGAAAATTAATTAATAATAAACCTTAATTTATTTTCTGTGAATTATATAATTAATTTTTTAAATTTAAAAACTATAATATTTTATTCCTTAAAGAGTATTGTAATTTTTTCTTTTCTTTTCTTTTGATTAGGGTTTTTATAGTATGTTTGTTATAAGTTTGGCTCTTGTGGTATTCAATTTGTTTTCGTCATGGTCCTCCTAATTAACGTGTTAAAATGAATTCAATGGTCATTTTAGTTTTTTTGTTCTTTTTTTTTTTTGTCTTTTTTCTATAAAAATGTGAACACGATATGTACATATATATATATATATATATATATATGTAAGAAATAAAATAAGAGATTGTTTTATGATTTGATTTATTTAAATTATAAAATTAATTATATTAAATACGACTTAATTTTGTTATTTTACTACAATGGTGGAAAAATATATATGGTATTACTGTTTTAATATAATTAATTTTTTAATTTAGAAAAAATCAAATTATAAAACCATATCTTATTTGATTCTTTTTAAATTAAAAAATTAATTATACTAAAACAGTAATATTATATTTGATTAAATAAAAAAATAATTATATTGAATTCGATTTAATTTTATTGTTTTTTCCACATTGCAATAAACAATTTTAATCAATATTTTAAAACCAAAATCATTGAAAATCGTTAACAAATAAAATCTAATGTTATCATCTAAAAGTAGGGTTTCGGTTTTCATATCGTTTTTCACCAAAAACTCAAAATCAACTATTTAGATTTTAACATATGGAAGATTCATACATATTATCATTTTGGTAACTTAAAATTGAATAAATCCATATATAAACTTCAACAAAGTTTTCATACTATATCTAAATAGACAAAAATATTAAAACAATAAAATTAAACCGTATTTAATATAATTAAAATTTTAATTTAAATAAATCAAATCATAAAACAATATCCTATTTTATTTATTTTGATATCCCTATATATATATATATATATATATATATGTGTGTGTGTGTAAAAAATAATATTTTTACTTTTTTATAGAAAAAAGACAAAAACTAGACAAAAATGGTCCTTGATTTACCTGAATTGCCGAATTTATTTTAAGGCGTTAGTCAGAGGGACCTTGGTCAAGACAAATTGAATACCACAAGAATCAAATCCAAAATAAACATACTATAGGGACCATAGTCAGAAAAAACATCAAAAAAGTGGGGCCAAATCCATAATTCACTCTTCTTTAAAAAATTGAATTTAAGTTTATAGGGTTGGGTTCCGTTGAGAAAGAAAGTTATGGTGAGAAGTAAGAAGAGATCTTCAGTCTTGGTTCTATCCTAATTCAATCTTAATACTAATAAGCTGCACCGAGATGCACCGGATCAATTTCATTCTAAATTGCAATTCATGGGTGGACGTAAGGTTAAAAGTGATCAAGAGTTGAAATATTTTCTTACACTTTTCACCATAACTAGCATTCTCACACGATCCTTCGTCTAAATTTATATATGTTTTTCAATAATTAGTACAATATATATATATATAGAGAGAGAGAGAGAGATATATATATATATATATATATATATACATAGACAAAGAGAAAGATGACGATGTGAGAATCATAAAAATGATAAATACTATATGTATTACTTTATATGATTTTTTATTTAAGTTTAAGAATTAAGATATTGATTAAAATGAATTTGGTTCAATTTATAATGTTTATGTTTCATATGTATTTGTTTTATAACGTAAAACTTTTTTACATGTTTTTAAAACAAAAGAAATACATCCAAAAAGGTTTGTATTGTGAAACTATTATTTATTTATTAATCGATATGTTAAATCTTAAACTTTAACAAAAATTATATAAAATAATACCTTAACTAAAGGTTCTCACAGTTTTCCAATTTTATGGGATTTTAATTTGATTATTTCTCTCTCTATATTTATAATAAGTTTAGTTTAAAAGTTAATTTATTTAAAAGTATTTTAGGTAACTAAAAACAATCCAATATATATATATATATATATATATATATTGAACCTAATCAAATGAGAACTAATTAGTTTGTGGTAACCGTGAGTTTTAATCTCAAACACAAATCAATAGATAAATTAGTAAATTTATAATTTTGGTAATTTTGAATTAAAATTTTAATGCAAGAACATTTTAGGTATTTTTTCTCATCTCTCCTCTCTCATGAAAAGTATTATATTAAACAATTTGAAAGACCGTCCCTATGACATGGTCTAACTTAATGAAACAAAATCATTAAATTAAACAATAAAATCGACGGATAAGAATGGTTTGTATGATTTGTATATATATATATATATATATATATATGTGTGTATGTGTTTATGTGTATTAATTCACAATCAATAATTTTAACCAAATTGACGATGATGTTTGCTTGTTTAAAATCTCAATAACAACAATTTCTCATCTATTAAAAAATGGTTTTAAAAAATCATCCATTATTACTTGTTAATTAAATGTATAATATTTTATTAATTTTTTTTACATTTTTAATGTATAATATAACTCTGGTTCATCCTCTAAAATTAAATGCATATAATAACCCCCAATACAACACCCCTCCTCCTTGATAAGATTCTAATCCAAATGTTCTCATTTGTCCCTTAACAATACAACTTATATTGTCTAAAATGATTTTGGTCTACAAATTATTTTCCAATTTTGTTTTATCAAAATCCATTTCAAATATTTAATTATTACTAAAAATCTTCAGAATTACATGTTAAACCAACCGTTACAATAATTTTCTTGTTATCCACAACTTTGATTTTGGCCAACACACTTTTTTCCTTATTTGGTTGTTATTAATAATTATTTTTTTAATTAAATTATACATAAGATGATGGTACTTTTAAATTAAAAATAAAAAATAAAATAACAAATAATGGGTATAAATAGGCATCCTTGGCCAAAGACTTCCACCCTTGTGGCTTTGAATCTCTTTACATCACCTCAACCCCAAATAGAGAAAAGAGATCTAGATATAGAATGGGGAGAGCACCTTGTTGTGAAAAGATGGGATTGAAGAGAGGCCCATGGAGTCATGAAGAAGATCAACTCTTGATTGCATATATCAAACAACATGGCCATCCTAACTGGCGCGCTCTTCCAAAACATGCCGGTAATTAGCTGTAATTCTAGTTCAACGTACAATCTTTTTTGTACAAACTAAGCCCTTGACTAGCTAATGGTTTAAGGGGTTCATTTTAACGGTATCTGGGTTCATCAAGCAACTAATTGGATGTCTCCTTTTTTCCGTTTTGTTTGTGTTTAAAAGAACAAATTTCAAATTTAGTTAAGATTACAGTGTATTCTCTTTTCGACATTGTATTCTAACTGTTATATCAATTTGGCATTCAATTTAGTTGAGAATCAAAGTGGGTTTAGTGTTAAATGTTCTATTTGGTCTTGTGGTCGTTTCTGTAGGTTTGTTACGGTGCGGAAAGAGTTGCAGGCTTCGTTGGATCAATTATTTACGGCCCGATATTAAAAGAGGAAACTTCACGAAAGAAGAAGAGGACACCATCATTCATCTACATGAAATGCTCGGGAACAGGTATAACAAATATTTGTTACTTTTAATATTAATTAATTAGAAATCAATAAGACAACCAAAACATTGCATGACGACAAAATGGTCTAAGAGGCTGATCTAATGAGTAAGAGGTGAATGAATCGATAAATATTCGAATCTCATAGTATTAAAAACTCATGTTTATTAATCAAAAAGATTAAAAAATAAATCCTAAAAAAATTGTAGATGTGCAGAGATGATGATGATGATGATGATGACATAGAGAAAATATAATTTAATAAATTATTGAGTTTAGCTATTGGTCATCACGAATCGCTATCCCGCTTTTCATGCTTCTTGTTTTTTGTAAGAATAAACAATTTCACAACATGCATCCTCTTCATTTCATATATATATATATATATATATATATATATATATATATATGTGTGTGTGTGTAAAAATACTATTTTTTTACTTTTTTATAAGAAAAAGACAAAAGAATAGGTAAAAGGCTAAAATGACTCTTAATTTAACAGAGTTAACAGAGTCGTAGTCAGAGGGACCATGTCCAAAACAAATTGAACACCACAACGAATAAATACACAATACACATATCATAAAGACCTTAGTCAAAGAAAACATCAAATCCAAAATTCACTCAATAAACAAGGATTTTGAGTATTAATAACTGTCTTTCACGCTTTAAATTACGTGTAGTTAGGATTTTTTTTGGAAAAAAAGTCAATTAATCGTGAATCACATATAATTTTCACGAAAATTATAATTTTTTAAATATTTGATTAAATCAAAAAATAAATTCTTTAAATAAAAACTAAATGCATTAAATACAAAATCATTGTTGTAAATAAAAAAATTAAGTCACATTAAAATCACAAATATAGTAAAACTATAATCTTAAATAAATTTCTTAAAACTCTTATATAATTAAATTACTTTTAAGCCCTTACTTATTCATTTTCTGAAATTGTTTATTTAAGGTATTATTTAATGAATTATGTGATCCATATTCATTATTTTATTTTTTTATTTTGTTATTGTTTTCATATGAACCTGGCTCATATATATATATATATATATATATATTATTCTGAGAAGTGGTAGATATTTGAAAAGTAAAAAAATGATCTTAGTCTTTTATACGGTTAAAATTTGCGGCTATGCGAAAAATAGAGGGGTAGTTTTATAACTTTTACAAATATGCGGCAAACGGGTTTACGTGAACCTATGTGATTCACATATGAACTATATGTACGTGAACCTATGTGATTCACATATGAACTATATGTACGTGAACCTGTGTGATTCACATATGAATTAATTAACTGATTCACATATGAATCCGTTTGTCATCTATTTGTAAAAGTTACGAAACTACCCATTTATCTTCCACATACATGTGCAAGGAATTATCTTCCGCATACATCTATTTGTAATAATTTGTATGGTATATTTATTTTGTACATGGTCGTAATGAAATATTATATTTTATTAATAAAATCTTTTTATGTTTGATTTTACAGATGGTCGTTAATCGCAGCAAAATTACCTGGTCGAACCGACAACGAGATTAAAAATATCTGGCACACTCACTTGAAGAAAAGACTTGAAAATAAAGAAACGATCACCCATATATCCAAAAAACGTCAAACGAAGTCCAAACCTGCTTTAAGTGCTCAATCACCTGAAGAAACGACTGGTTCTCAATGTCTTGTTCAACCAGATCATAACTCACTAGACAAGGTACGATCTGTGTCGTATCAACCATCAACAAGCGAGTCTTCATCAATTACAGAAGCAACAAATGAGTTACCTAGTGTAACCAAGCATGAGGAAACCAACCATGAGATGTTTCTTGATGATAGCTTTTGGTCAGAAACATTATCTGGTGTTGGTGACAACAATATGGAATCTGATCCGGCGAAAAGCATACCAGGTGTCGAGTTTCCAACATCTTTGCTCACAATGATCGAAAACACAGACACAAGAAATCCAAATACTGGTTGCAACATGGATGGCATAGACCTATGGTCTGATATTTTCATGCACATCGAGGAGTTACCCGAATTACCAGAATTTTAATTTAGATATTCGTTTGTAACCTTGTTTAGACCAGGAACTAAATAGAGCAAATTACGTTTTTAGTCCATGTGGTTTGTTGAATTTTTTCTTCGTCCTTATGGTTTTGAAATTACGATTTTGCATCCTTATGGTTTATAATTCATAACCTTTTTCATTCTTATGATTTCAAGTTTATTTATTTTATCGTCCCTATGGTTTACAATTATTTCTATTTTAATCATTTATGCTTGAAAATAGTGTTTTGATTTATGGGACGAAATTATAAATGAATTGCAAATCATAGAGATGAAAATCAAAATTTTAAAACCACAGTGATAAAATCTGTATTTTTAACAATACCAGAGGGATGAAAAACATAATTTGCTCAATTATAATAACTGTATTTTACCATTTAACTGAAATTTTAGATATAATAATTATATTTATATTGTGAGTTTTGGTTGACCAAGAGGAACAAAGTTGACCAAACTGGAATTGAATTCCTAGGCAGTTGTCACTTTTAATGTTTTGATTGGATGTTTGTGGTGGACCCCAAAGCATCTTATATTTTACAAAAATTGAAATAAACATTTTTTATATTTAAATTATTTTTCTTAATCATTTCTCTCCGGAATCGCCATTACTTTTATAGTATCCACGTCCACAATATTACGAACCTACCTAAAAAGTAAAAAACATCAAATTCAACACAAGTCTGCAATTGTGACGGCTAGGTCTACAATTGCAATGGTAAACTGGTTGAATTTGATATATATATATATATATATATATATATTTTTAGCTAATAATATGGACATGGATATTACGAAAGTAGTGACATTTTGATAAACTGGGAAGAGAAATGGTTAAGAGACCAAATTAAATGTAGAAAATGATTATTTGAGTCAATTTCCCTATATATTTTTAGGGATCTTTTAACGATAGAATCAAGATAATTAATGCATTAAAAATGTAAAAATAAAGTTTTTTTTTATGTGTATAAAGATGAAATTTATAAATAAGGGTGCATTAACAACTCTTTTATTAAAAGTGGCTTTGTGACCAATGATTATAAATAATTAAATAATCAAGAGTAAAATATGGATTTGGTTCATATGGTTTGATATTTTTTTACTAAGGTCCCCATAATATGTTTATTGTGGGTTTGGTTCTTGTGGTATTCAATTTGTTTTTGTCATGATCCCTTTAACTAATGCCTCTGTTAATTCTGTTAAATCAAGGGTCATTTTAGTCTTTTTATCTTTTTTTCTCTAAAATAGTGAAAACCAATATTTTTTATACACAGAAATATATATATATATATATATATATAGTTGGGTTCACGTGAGAACAAAGGTTTTTCATGAGACCCTTAAGACCAATTTATGTTCATTGATCAACTTTATAAGTTAATGATCTTATGGTCTAAATTGCACGGTGACAATTTTGTGATTATTGAGAAGTCTCGTGACGTTTATGAATGTTTAGATTTTCATATTGTAAATCTAATCCAATGGTTGAAAATTGGTCTTACGGGTCTTACGAAAAACTATTGATCTCACATGATCCCAAGTGTATATATATATATATATATATATATATATCAAAATAAATAAAATAAGATATTATTTTATGACTTGATTTGTTTAAATTAAAATTTTAATTATATTAAATATGATTCTAACATAATTAAAATTTTAATTTAAACAAATCAAATCATAAACCATATCTTATTTATTTGGGGAAAATAGAATAAGATATAATTTTGTTATTTGATTTGTTTAAATTAAAAAAGTAATTATGTTAAAAACAATTTAATTTTTTTTAGCAATGTAATAAACAACTTATTATCGATATTCTAATATAAAAATCATTCAAAACCATTATGATACTAATTCCAATTAGGATTTTCAATGTTTTTCATTCAAAAACTCAAAATAAACTTTACATTTTAACCAAATGAAAGATTCATACATACTCTCATCCTTATAACTTCAAATTTAACAAATTTCTATATAAATTTCATTTATAAGGATTTTTTATATATATTAAATTAGATATTTGATATGAAATATTTGAGCACTTCAACTAGACTAAGTTAAGTCTTTGTTTTTTAAGTCAATTAAAAGGTTTCCAAATGCAAATTTGTAAGTTGATTGATTTTGATGGTCAAATTTTGTTACTTTTTTGTGATTTTAGTTTCAATTCAATGCATCGACTTTAAATAATTGAGCATAGAGAAAGATTTTGAACTGCTCCAATTTAAATACGCTATTAAGTGAATTTAGAGATACTATCAGATCAACTACGATTAATTCATAGACTTTTACAATTTTGTAAGGTGATATGAACGGATAAACTGGTGTAAGTTTTATCTAACAATACATTTTTATCGTATCACGGACGTATTAAAGAAGAAAGATCATTTCGTACGGTTTAGCAGTCCTTGCTGATCTTCTTGGGTAATGCTCTAAACTCAATTTGTGTTTTTGATATGGCCATGGACTTTTAGAACCGGTTATTAAATGAGTTTGGAGACCATCAATTTTGTTTGGTATGTGAACTTTTGCAACTTTGTAATGAAATAGATAACGAATAAAGTATAAAGGAAAACCATTCCATTGGATCCATGGTTTTGTACAACAAGTCTAATTCAATAAAATGAATTTGTTTTTAAATGATAATAAAACATATTAGAAGATTATTAAATAAATACAGTTTTTTCAAAATAATTTAAAGGTTTTGAGCTGAATGTTACACTTAAATATTATATAATAAATTATCGCATATACATCAATAATCATACCACAAATTTCATACGTTCAACATCATTTCCCAAATCTTAAAAAAAAAAAACTCTTTTGAAAGACAAATATTTGTTATATTCACATATTTATATCTTTCTAAATCCTTCCAAACAACAATTGACAGAAATATAAATGTCATATAATATATCTGTAAAAACCTAAGTACCCATTATTCGAGAAGGAACCTAAAAAAGATAAGGAACCCAAGAATCGCTCAGAGCATGACATGTAACAAATTCGTTAGAAGTACGAACATGTTATTCATTATGAATGTTGTAATATATTTATTATGAATATGCAATTCATAATGAATAACACATCCATATTAACCATGAATATATGATTCATGATGAATAACAATTTCATATTCATCATGAATGTGTGATTCATGATTAATATTCATTCTGAAGAGGAACATGTGATGTGCTATGAAGAGTTCCCAAGTTTTGGATTCCTAACAAAACTTTCCTCCCAGTTATTGTATCAACAAGTTTTTTAAGGATATATTATTACCAATTAAGGTTAAAAAATTATAAAAAATATATTACATTTATTTTGATTGGTAAGATATTAATCTTTAAACAATATTTGGGTGCATCCCCACTAAACCTAGCCATCCACACTAAAAAGTAAAGTGACCTTAGGCGGCTAATATAACCTTTTAATTAACTAGATCGAATCAACCTCATCATTATAATAAGATCAGGTTTATATGATATTCAAATATTTAAATAAATACTTATAAAATACTTACGGTTTCTTATTGGGTAGCCACACGTATATTATCAATAACCAGATAACAGATGACTACTTGGTCATATATGTTTGGTCTTTACCAACAAATTCATCGTGTCATTTTATGAATCGAGAATTTTACTCTGTCAGTGAATATGGGGATTCTTATCTGGTTAACGCTTAAAAACTGAGTGAGAGAGAGTCGTTTATATTTTGATGAGCGGGAATCTTACCCAATGAGATAAGTGAGAGTGGTGAATTTTATTATCCATACTTTGTATTGGTAAACCATAAACGACTTGCAAGTATAATAATAAATTGTTTTATAAGACTTAGGTTTATAGGACAAGACAATCATGTGTCATATGTAACATTGTTATATCAATAAGATGTTTTTGGCCATCTTAACACGTTTTTTATGAAACTTTGAAATAAAATCGTTATATTATTTTTCATATGACGTTATTTGGAAAAAATGTATTGTAAAAACAAGCGTCTATCCGACACTTCTCAAAATTGTCATATAAAAAAGCTAAGAGAATATTTTATTTTAAGAGTAGATGCAATCAAATCAAAAGGATAATATTTTGGCTTGAAACAATAAAACAAAACGAGAACCTAAAAACCAAAGTTTTGTCCGACAACAACGGTGACGATGACCATGCTTGCCAGAACATTATTCGCCTTGAATCCCATGTTTCTCTTCCTTCGACGACCTAAACCTCTCTCCCCCGACCTTGTTCCTGAAAATGCAAGTACACCCTTCCTCGGGTTTGGTCTTTTCTTCCCTTTTCGGTGTTTAACCTGGTTGTGTTAATTCAAAGTTTTGTGCATATAAAAATAAACATTCGATTGTAGGGTAAAATAGACGACACATATTTAGATATTTACTAGTTTACAAAAACAAACAGTCTTATTGATTTTGTTTTCAGAATCAGCTCCACCTCTTATCAGTAAGAAGTGAAATAAGATCCAAAGTTCAACATTTCTTGAAAAACAAACATCTTAGTAACAAGTTTGATAGTACAAAACTTAATCTAATGATACTTTTTTAGAAGCTTCTTATAAAAGGTTAAACAAAATGATTTGTTGGATGACATATTGCAGTTCAAATTCATATAATGATATTATGCAATTAAGAATAAATTGTAGACGTATCTAGTTTGATTTGAAATTCATTGTTATTTTGAATATGAATAGAATATTTGGCCTTAATTTGAATTAAAATTTGATTATACATAGAGGGGGGAAGGGGAGGTTCAAATGGGAATAGTGTCAAAAAAAATACGAGAACGGTCAAATCAAATGCGATTACCGTTGGGATATGGGAGTCATATAGTCAGCAGAAATTAACCATATCCTTCCAAGAATCCATACGAAATGAGGTAGGATGAGTATTTCAAAATTCTACCAGTACGAGAAACAACCCTTTGGTGTCGTATATGAATCTAGCAACAAACTCAGTCCATTGCCTCCACGATATCCACATAAATGCACCGAATAATTGACGTCCTACACCAAGAGAGCAGATCGTCTTCCTTTCTGAATGCTAGATACATTCTCCAACTCCTTAGA